GTGCAACTAAGTAACATTTACATTGTATTAGGAAATGTCAAGTAGCTTACAGATGAGTTAAATTATGTAGAAGGTATATGTTAAATATTTTATGAAGGAGGAGAGTGCTTCAGAATATATTCTTTTTTAAATTTACTTTTAAGTTTCATACTATACAAACTGCCCTTGCTCCCCCTGCCACCCTGGAGGATTGCAAAATTCAGCAAGAGCAAAAGGGAAATATTTAAGCTAAATATTATGTAATTCCTTTGGCCAAGAGGATTTTGAAAAGTAAACCAAATTTCACTTGGTAATACCCTAAAACTGTCATTATGTTTACAGTAGATAGTATTAAAAAGGTGAATACTTACATGAGTTATCTTGACTATCAAGTGCATTAAAAACAGGGGAATGGTAGTGGTAAGGGGCTGGGGGCAGGAGGAGATGGTTGAATTGTTTGGTGGAGTTGTTTTCCAAGACAAAAAGTTCTAGAGATGTACAGTACAGCAGTGGAAGCATACTGAACTGTACATTTGATATTTAAAATAGTAAATGTTATATTTACTTTGCCACAATTTTTTACAACATATTTAGTACTGGATCTGCAGGGTCTCACTACACAGATTGGACTCATAGTGGTCCTCCTGTTTTCAGCCTCCCAAGCGTTGGGGTTACAGGAGTGTGCCACCTCGCCCAGTCTCAGCGCGCCTCAGGTGGGTCTAGCATAGCACCCTGGGGATTGAACTCTGGTCCCTACGCCTGCCTAAGCAGGTGCTTTAATCTGCTGAGCTATTTGGCTGGCCCTCTTTACCACAATTTTAAAAACTGCTTCAAGAAACTCCAGCATGTTAATTAGTATTTATTTTTTAAGTGGAGGTAAAATACATATGGGAAATACTAGGCTGAACCAAGTGAGATATCTTGAAGTTTACTGGGATGACACTTAGGAAGCCAAGGAAGCCAGCCAGGGCAGCATAGCAAGTTCAAGGCCAGTATGGATTACATAGAGACTGGGGAAGATGACGTGAGCAGCAGAGAAAGCCTTTCTGAGAGTTGCCATTCAGACACTGGAATATAGCAAGGAGAGGAAGAAAAGAAGTAGGAAAGTGGGTTCCCTGGACCCAGGAAGGATCCAAAGTGAGAACTGAAGCCCATGGAGAAAGTGAAGAGAAAACTTCGATGAAGAGGAGGGAGGTAGCTAGTGGCGCCTTCTCCCCCAAAAGAGATTCACTGAATGGGAGGAGCAGGCTACATAGAGACTGTCTACAGAGCAGAACAACAACAAAACAGAAAAAGATATTGTCAAGTTGACATTATACTATTTTTTAAATAAATGTTTAATTTGCCTATTAAAACGTTTTGCGGGGCCAGGGAGATGACTCAGAATAAGCGCTTCCTTGGCAAGCGCAAGGGCCTGAGTTCAATCCCCGGTTCTGCAAAAAAAAAAAAAAAAAAAAGTTTTCAAATGAAAAAAAGAATGAACACACCTATCTGTAAATGAAATACAAAGGGTATTACTTTGTAAGGGATCTCTTCCCCTTCCAACAAATAATGGATCGTTCAATATGGAGCCTTCTGACATGCTTGAACCAGAGCAGCATGACAGAGATCATGAGGCTGGGGTCAGGAGAGAGAACTTGAGGCCATGTCTGATTGGTGGCCACTTGACTCTGAGCCCCAGTTGGGTGGATCCAGAGGCCTGGAACCCAGAACCCAGGTAACAAAGATACCAGTATGACAGAGAGGCCATGCTTTGTCAGAGACCCATCCTCCTGGGATGCAAGCTCAGCAAAGGCTGCCCTGGAGGGACTCCTGGCAGCTGGGTGGCCATGGACTGCCCACAGTCACAAACCCAGGATTGCAAAGTCTCTGCCCTGTACTGCTCAGCCCCACCTTTCCATTGTTACTCTTGGGCTTTGGCTTTCGCTGCTATTTCCCCTTGTACGTTTTCCCTTAACCAAATTGTGTGTTTCTTAAGCCATCTAGGGAAGGGGTAGAAACTACTTGAATCACAAGTGGGTTTGAATTTCAGCTCACACTGGTGCTCACTCAAAGCAAACTCTCCCTCTGTGAGTGGAGTCACTAGTGTATTCTCCTGGCTTTGGTTCAGTTAAGTGTGACAGAGCTACATAGGAACATTGCTCTCTCAAAAGGACTTAAATAGGCCAGGGTAGGCAGGGAACTTCTCAACACAAAGGGACCAATCAGACCAAAACGTTTTTATTTTTATTTTGCTGTCTGTGGCTTCCACCTGTCATAATGGCTGCTTGGCCTCCTGCCACGATCTCTGTCTTACAAGCAGAAGGGGGGGGGGGCATAAAGAAAGGCTTGCTCTTAAGTTAGAGGACGTTTCTTGGAAGTTTCTCACTGTTCTGCCTAATCTCTTTGGCCAGAACTTAATTTTGTGGCCATACATAGCACGAAGAGAAGCTGGGCAGTGGTCTTTATTGCAGGTAGCCTTGTGTCCAAGAGAACTGGGGTGCCTTATTCTAATGGAAAGGAGAACAAATTGTAACCTTATTTCACAAATGGTAACCACTTTGGCTTTTCGGAGTGCTAGGATGACAGGCATGAGCCACCATACTTGTCTTTACTTTTTATTTTGAGTCAGGGTCTTGCAAAGTTGTGTAGGCTGGTCTTGAACATTTGATCCTTTTGTCTCAGCCTCTCGAGCAGATAGGGTTACAGGCTTGCACCCCCAAATCCAGTTGGTGTTTGGTATACTCTCTCTGCATTTGTGTACATCTTGAGCTATTTCAGTTAGATGCTTTTTGTTATAAGAAAGTTCATCTTGGGCTGGGGAAATAGCTCAGTAGAATAAGTGCTTGCCTGGCAAGCGCAAGGTCCTGAGTTCAATCCCCAGTTCCACAAAACAAAAACAAACAAACAAACAAAAAACAAAAAGTTCATCTCAGATACAAAGGATTGCTGATTCCCATAGCTGACAAAAGTGGTCATTCAGGTCATTTAGTTTGATCAGGACTGTATTTCTCTTTCTCTACTTTTCAGTTCTGCCATTCCCCCCATCAGCTTTCTTTTAAGATTGCAGAGAATGCAAGCAGCTGGAGAAATTACTTATTTATTGGCTTATATCAAAAGAAAAATGCTCAAACGTGGAGCCTATAATTTTACTTTGATTGGATCATCCTTAAACTAGAAATAGCAGGTAGGAGAAAGCCACACAATGGCTTGGATTCACCCACCTGGTATAGCAAGAGCCAGGAGAGGGCATATTTTGAAGCTGAAGGCAGGGTCAGCCCCACTTGGGCCATACGGCTACTCTGTCTGGGTGCTTCACAAAGTAAAATCAGAGGGAATGAATGCTAGATAGGAACCAAAGCAAGCTGACCACGCATCACAGACCCTGAACACCCAGGCACTAATAATCTTTTTGTTCAAAGCATCTAGGATAGTGTGTTGTCACATTTTTGCTAAATTCATGAGTGAGAAAGTGTAGATGGCTGGAGTGGAAGCATTCTTGAGTATATCTGCCAGTTGGTAAATGGAACAACTGGTACCAGATCCTTGCCCTGTGCTGGTGGTGATAAGATTTAGGGGGAAGGAGCAGGAAGGAAGTGAGCTGTCAGCCAGGAAGGGACCAGGAGGGCTGGCCTGGTCCAGTGGACCTGCTCACAAATCAACCCAAGAGAAAAAAGCTCTAGGCAGATAGATCACTGCCTGGGTCTCCCACCCTCCGTGGTCTCCCTCCTGTGGCCTGCTGCTGGGTGCTCTGATGTTCGGAACATTCTGAGTGTGGCTATAATGGAGCCTTGTTCTCCACCCTATCATGATTGCCAGCTGCCCTTTTTCACTTCTATTCATAAAAAAGATTTCATTTCACTCCATGGGTGGGAGCTTCCGGGGTTTCTGATTTTTCTTTCTGCAGCTCCAAAGCTGTTTCCAAGATTACACACTGCTAAGTTTTGGACAGAAACCTGCTCCATTGCTGATTCCCCTTTTCTGATTCCTAGCTACCTGAGTGGCTAGACCAACAGGTTCTCTTTGTAAGAGAGTGTGCATTAAGATGCTAAGTTAATTTCATTTTCCCAACTGAATTCTGCCGTTTTGGAAACACCCACCCATCCAGACATTTTGGCAGAAAGTTTGATGCACCACCATTGAGCCCCCCCGCCCCCCCCCCACCAAGACTGAGAAGCAAAGCTCTTCTAAAGCTAGGGACAGCCCCCAACCTTCTTTACTTGATTAAGACTTGACTCACTGCCGTCCCTACTGAGATAACAACTGTTTCCACTTAGGTCACCACACACCACTTGACCTGCACGTTTATTATTCTCCTAATTGGCATCTCAGCCTCGAATGCCACCAAGGTGCTGTCCTCTGTGTACCTCAACCTTCTCATGGAATGTGGCAGGAGGCAGAAACACTTTAAGTGCCCCTGTTGCCAGGGCTCTGCCTTGTCCTCCAGCTTCTAAGACGCCTGGTTGACAACCCTCTAAGTGACTGAGTCTCCAAAGCTTCTTGAGTTCTGAGCCTAAATGTACCTTCACCGGACCTTGCCCAAGTCGCCGTAGTATATCCTTGTATCTCAGACCCTTCCCTCTGAATCCAGCACCTATGGCACTGAGCCAGTCACCCTGAGCCAGTCCTGACACCCGTCGATTGTGCACCACCGGAGTCTCCAAGTAAGCCCCTACCGCCTCTAGCCAGGACCCTAGCTCCGCCCCTGACGGGCAGCAGCGCCCGGGACGGCAGGCAGGGCTGCACTTGGTGATGCGCGTGCTGGACCACCGTTGCCATGCAGTTCGCGCCGGCGCCTGGGTGTCGCCCGCTGCAAGGTCCTTGACTCGGGTCCCTCGTCTTGCGCACAATGAAAGGTCTGGGAGCGATAAGCCCACCACCTCTCCTGCCTCTACCTCCGCCTCCGTAGCAAGCTAGGGCGCTCCACCATGTCGCCTTCCCCTCGCCAGGCTTTCGCAGTACCTGTTCTCCTGGCACCCCATCCGCTTAGCGGGCCCGACACCTGTGACCGCATGGGAGCCGCGCCCTCCCCGTCCCGCCCCTGCCCACGCTGCTCGCCGGTGCTTTTAGTCTGCTCCGGCTCGTGGGACGCAGTGGGGCCGGAGATGCGGCTCTCCCGCCTCAGGCGTTCAGGGCGCTGCAGGGAGGGAGGAGCCAGGGGCGCCCTCGCCCTGCGGGTCTGGGCACTTCCCAGTCCGACGAGCGCAGTCGCTTGGTCTCCCACGGATTGCTTTCCCATCCTCAGAGCCTACGCTTTCTCAGAAACCCGAAGGCTTGACCCGCGGAGCCGCCGCCCGTCGTTCAGCTGCAGCCCAGTGGCTGAGAACCCAGGCGCTCGCAGAGCAGGAAAAGACCCCGGTACTCTCCACTGGCACTTCCGTGACAACAGGCTAGGACGTCGTCGTGTGTGTGTCGGAGGCCTGTCTGTGGGCTCCACTGGGAGTTTGTTCAAAGACAACAAACGCGCGCGTTCGAGTCCCGTCCCCGGTACGAAGGGCTGGAAAGAAGCGAAACCAGTGACTCAGCGCGTCCCGAACGAGCTAGGCGCCGCCCCGGGCCGCCGGTGCCACAAGGAGGCGCACCCCGGGCGGAGTCGCCGAGGTCGGCCTAGCTGACGTTCAGACCCGCCGGCTGGACGGCAGCGTGGGCAGGCGTGGGCCATGGCCGGCGGGGCGGCGGGTCTGGGGGCCGAGCTCCTGGCCTTTGCGCAGGGCTGGGACCCGGGCGCATCGTCCCTCGCCCACGGCTACAGCCTGCAAGAGCTCCGCGAGAGCGAGTTCCGCCGCTTGGCAGGTGAGACGGGTGCATGGACGTGGAAGGAGCTTCTTGTCTCTTGCTGCATTTCTTTTGGGGAGCGTTGTGAAAGGAAAGACAGGAGGGACGTGTCCACCTGTCCGCTTCGTGGACACGGCTGCATGGGGTCCCTCCTGCCACCCAAGACCTCCTGCTACTGCTGTGCCCTAGGTTTTCCACGGGGCTCAACCGACTTCGTTCCCTACTCCCTGTTGCTGGGGGACAACACGATTCTAAAGGTCGAACAGCAGCCAGGGTTGCAAAATTCGAGTCCGCAGGCCGCGACTGCTGTGACTCAGCGAACGCAGCACGAGGGCTCGGGGTGTGGGCAACTCCTCCGGGGGCCTCTGGGTGGGGACCGACGGGCAGCGGGCTCCAGGCAAGGCCCCTCGGAGACCGCGCCCCAGACTCCTGGAGTGACCCACTTGCGACTTTCATTTTCGAAGCCTCGTTTTTTTGATTTCTGCTCTAGGAACTGCTTCTGACCCACCTCCAGCTCCCCGGGAGACTTGATTAGCGAACTGCGCAATTTGAGCGCTAAGAACCCGACAAACCTGTAGGTAGATTGGACTCGAGAGGAGTACGGTGTGCCTTTGAGTTCCGAAAAGCAGAACTTGCTGATCAACCTGGCCTTGGCAGACCCTAGTTCGTTGCTTCAAGTCCGCAACACCCGTGTGCAAGGGACCTGGAGTCCGGGCTTCCTTCGTGAGGCCTCAGAGCTGCCTACCGGGTAGTCACGGAGAGGCAGCGGGTGAGGGCAGTCGTGGTCCAGCGCTCCTGGGTTTATTTATCTGTGCCTTTTGATGAGCAAGTCTTCCCGTTTTAGGCAGAGTTCAGCTCTTTGGGTCATTCCCTATGTTTTGTAGGATAACTTTTTTCCTTGTCTGGGGTGGTGTGGACTGTGGTCTGCTTGTGCAGTTCTCTGATCTATTTAAGCTAGGAGGGTCTGGAGGGAGGCAGGGGGTCTTTGCTTCCTTCTTTGCGCCCTCCCTATTCTTCTCTGGCCCCTGTGGGCCTTGTTGCACTATCTCCTGCTGGAGGCAGCCCCTCACTTCTCTCCTTTCGTTATCCCACCCCTCGCTCTTTGTTATGGAAATTTCCTACCGCAGGGAAGTAGTCTGATGCCAGGACGCACAGGTGCAGAGGGGAGGAGCCCCTCATTCTTTTGAAGCAAAGCCCAGCGCCTGTATCTTTACTGGGTTATTATTTCAGCACAAAAGGTCTTTAATCTCTCAAATCCCCTCCAGCTGTGATCCCTTACACCCACCATCGGGGCCCCACCCAGTAAAACACAGGCCTGCTCACGGACTCTCCTGATTTTACTCTTGTCCCTCGAGACAGCGCTTCTCTTCAGTGTGAAGCAGTCCTGGCAGCGGGATTCCAGCCTAGCCTGGCCTCCAGAGCCCCTTTCACATCTGCCATATTTGTTGCTGTTAGATGCATCCTTACTGATTCAGCGCAGTCCCAGCGTTTCCTCTGCATTATGGATAATGAGGACTTTTGTGAACTGAACTGACACTCCTCCCGCCCCTCTGGGAGTTTAGGAACAAGTTCACTTTTTTACTTGAGACGGCAGTAAAGAACACACCAGGCAGCCAAACAAAAATAGCACTGTGTCGCCTTCTCCTCTTTCCCCCTCATTGCTCCTTGAAGATTTTCTGAAAGTTTGAACGATTATCTGTTAAGTGATGGTTCTGGATAATTAAGTACTTAATCTTTAAATGTTGAAACGTTTTGCTTAACCATTTGGATGCTTATTTTAGTGAGGAAAGTACATGGAATATCAAGTCCTTCTTGAAACCTTAGGGCACTGATTGATAACCACTTACTGTGTGAACCGGAGAATTGGTGGGACATTTGCTAGTCATTTTCCTTGTCTCTTGGACAAAATACCTGATCCCCACAATTTAGAGTAGAGGTGTATTTCAGCTCATAGCTCTTGAAGGATTTAGTTTGGTTGGTTGGTTGGTAGCAAGGCTTTAAATGACACAGCAGCAGGGCATGGGGGAGAAAAGGGGCTCAGCCTGAGACAGAGTGGAGAGAAGAGAGGAACTCAGGACTAGAGTGCACCCTTCTGGGTCACACTGGTGACCCACCTCCAGCCAGGCCCAGCCCCTAAGAGTGCATTCAGTTATAAACTTGTCAGTGTTTTAATCTACTGATAAATATAGCAGCCCTTGATCTGGACACCTTCCAGAAACCCCACTTCTGAATGTAAGACTGTTAAGGGGCGTTTTACTTTTTTTTTTTTTTTTTTTTTTTTCCAGGGATTGAACTCATACTTTTGTTCTTGCCAGGGAAGGAACTAAACTCAGATCCTTGCGTTTTTTGAGACAAGGTCTTACTATGTAGTCCAGGCTGGGCTGGAACTCACTATCAGTTTGTTGTATGAAACTCAAACTCAAGGCAATCCTCTTGCCTCAGGCATCCAAGTGCTGAGATTGCAGACATCCACCACCATGCCCATCTTAGGAGGCATTTTAGATCTAAACCATAACAGCATGACCCAGAAGACACCCGGGAATTATCTCTCTTGAAGATCTAATGCCAGTTGGTTTGGGGGTTGTTTGCCTCCTTCTAATAGCAGCTGAAACTAGGATGATTTCCGAGTGCCAAGCACTGGACCAAGTGCTTCTCCAGCTTCTTGGGGTCTCCATGCCCTTTTTTCTTCACTCTCACAGCTTCACACAGTGCCCTCTCAGGGGCACATTGAATGTCCTCCCAGGCCTCCATGTGAAATCTGGGTGAAAGCCTGTATAATCCTGTAGCTATTACATTCTGCATGTCTTTAAAACCAGAAGCACATGGATGATGCCAAGGTCTCCTGCCACTCAGACAGTAGCCAGCACCCCCTATCTTGGCTGCTGAGTTCTCTGAGTACAAGGAACCAAATCCCCACAAACACATTCCTTAAACTGCCATTCTTAAGCAACACGCCCTGGCCCTCTCTTCTCCAGTCTTTCACTTTTCCACTGCTGAGTGTGTAAAAGGTGAGATCTTTCAGGTTCTTCTCATGCCCTCAAGGTGTAATTACATTGCACCAATGTAAAGTATTTGATTTCCTTTAATATGAATCTTTTCAGCAACCAAGCTCTCCGCTGCCTCAGCTTTATAGGTACTAGCATTTTTCTTTGCTTTGGAGGCCATGATTTTTTTTTTTTTTTCAACAGCTCTGCTTCCAACGTGCTTCCAGTCTTTTTTTATTTTTTTACTTTTTAGAAATTATCTTTTTAAAAACATTTATTTATTTATGTATTTTAGTGTGTGTGTGTGTGTGTGTGTGTGTGTGTGTGTGTGTGGCCAGCTCAGCCCACCAGGGGGCAGGGCTGGATGGCATGTGGTGCTGGGGGATTGAACCGTGGTCCCTGTGCTTTTGCTTAGCTTAGCTTGTTCTAAGTAGGTGCTTTAGACCACTGAGCCATCTCACCAGCCCCTTTTTTTTGAGAAAGGTTCTTTCTTTGTAGTTTGGGAACTCACCATATAGTCCAAGCTGGTCTCACACTTGAAGTAATCCTCCTCAGCCTCCAGATGCTGGTATTACAGGCATGTGTCACCACACCTTGTTAGGCCCCAGCTTTTTTTTTTTTTTTAGGACAGGGTGTACAGGGATCTTTCTGTTTATAGCCTCCCAAGTGCTGGGATTAGCGGCACATGCAGGCACACCACCACACCTAGTCTCAATTTCTGCCTCAGCAAGCGCTGGGGGCGGGGCCAGCATGGCAGACCAGTGGATGAACACCCTGCCTTTGCATCTACCTAAGCAGGTGCTTTAATCCACTGAGCTATTTGGCCTGCCTTTTTTTTTTTTTT